CGTTTATTGTGGTGGGGAGAGCGAGACGAGGCAAGCGTTTTCGTGGACGGAAGATGGGTGTGGACGGGGCTATGGATGGAGGGTGGATTGGGCTGTGGAAGGAAGATGGACGCTAAGTAGAACGAAGCATGGGGGGGGCTACTGCTACTCCATGCCTTGCGGAAGAACGCTATTGACTGTCTGGCGCGGCCTATATGACGGTCTTGGGTGTCCAGAATGTGTACAATGTATGCCGAAGACAGCCCAAGTCATTGCAGAAACGGCAGGATGGTTGCACGCCAGAACCGCAATGCTTCAAATTCCATGGTTGGAACGAAGCACGGAGGGAGCTGATGCTGCTCCACGCTTCCTGGAAGGGTTGTTAGAAGCCATGTTGCAATCGTTTTATGACCGTTTTGGAGGGCTTTCAAAACTGACCAAGGGGTGTATATGGCAGACGGGGGTGGACGGATGCGCACCAGAACCGCGATGCTTGAAATATCGTGGTTGCCACGAAGCCTGGAGGGGGCTGATGCTTCGTTTTGGCCTGCTAATGTGTGTGCGTTTATTTTTCCTGGGCTGTGCGTTTCTTTTTGCTTTTGGGTCCGCGGGCTCACCTTGTTTTTTGAACCTTTGAGAAGAAAATCATTGTCCTAATGGTAGTATAGTTGGATGTTGGTACGTGTGTCGGTGGCGTGTTGTAGCTGTTGTATGTACTGCATGAGTGCAGCGGTCGTTCAAAGGACATTTAGTTGCGAAGCGTCCGAGTTGCAGAAACGAGGTTCGCCAAAGTCAAGGTGGTTTTTTCTTGCATTTTAAAGTGAGGTTACTCAGGTTTGGCGGGTTGTAGGTCCACCCTGGCTGGGGAAGGAAGAGGCCGCAAAAGCACGGGTTGTCAAAGCAAACCGTTTGGAATCCAAGACCCTTGGCCTGCATGTGTTTTGTACGAATTGTGTGCAAATCCGTGGACAGTCCATGAAACCCAGTCCTTGTGCCCTGGGAAAGATAACACTGATAATTTTCTTTGGGCACCTGTAGTGCTCTTTGCCTGAGGCGCTGCCTGAAGATGCTGCCACAAGCTTTGGCAGGTGCATGAGAGTGTGCCAGGAAACAGTTTGTTCACAGCATATTGTCGTATAGGTGTTACATGTTGGGACACTTGCATGAGACCGGCATCATTTGCCTCTCCATGGCGAAGGTCAGACAGACTGCGCAGTGATTCAGATATCGACGCGAGGAGACTGTTGTTGATTTTCAAGTACCAGGTCGTGGTTGGGATAAAGTGTAACCGCATGCATTTCCAGCACTGACAGCATAGTCTCACCCTCAAGCGCGCACAAAAAGCCTGTCTCATTGATTTCGGTTTTTACTCATTTGATGCGAAGCATGAATTCAGTTTTGCTAGGGCCTTGTCTCGAAAATGTTTCTTCTTCAACAAATGAACTGATATTGAGTCAGTCGTGTTTGCACAAGTGTTTGAGATCTTTAAAGAGGATTGTACTTGTTGGTCGCTGCAATCTATGCTCCAAACCTTTTCCAAGTGTGTATCCTGCATAACTATATACCCTCGGTTGAAGCAAGTTGCAGGTCACCTGCTCACAAAGTTGATATTATGACATCCTGCTACCCATTTGGCATTTGTTGACATGGAAAACATTATATCATATCCTACAAGGCAGAACTTCAGCTCTTGCAGCACACGAGCTCTAAAGCCAGTGTCTCCAAAGCCAGTCTAGGACGGATTGTGGAATGGATGGAAGCCCTGTCTGGATCTTCAGAGAGAAACGACGGAGCAAGCGATTCCGGAAGCGGAGACAGGGATTCCCTCAGACACTCAGGCAGATGGCGTCAAGGCACTTTGGGCATGGTGATGTTGAACAGCTTCCCACGATTTCCATCGAGGCAATGGCTGGGTACAAAGCATCCAGCCAGCTTGGCAACATTGCACCTTGCTCAGGGGGTAAAAGATAGCTCTCAGGTGTGAACATCTAGATTCTGAAGAGAAGAAATTGTTCAGGAGATAATTACTTGTAAGAAGCTTCATGTGAAGGCAGTGCACTTGTGTTGAGCAACACATTCACCAGATTGCAGCCCCCCTTAATCGATCAAGGAGGTCGGATGGCTTCACACCAGCACAAGAGGGTTTCAGAACTAAGACACAGGCTCAGGTATTCGATGTATTCCTATTTGTCGCTTGGTAGTACCTGCCAAAGCTCTCCAAAGCTGGTCTAGCTTGAATGGAGGGAATTTGCACGAGACGAGTTGATGCAGTATGCGTATTTTCTTTTTTTGGCCCTTGCGCATCCAAGCTCGCCTTGCGCTCCGACTTGAATGTTGTTTGTTGGGAAGCGTTCGGTGTTCAATACTGATCAGTGCATCACTCTGACTCTGGTTGAACGTAACCACTTCGGTTTCTCTGCAGAGTTCGGCCACCCCAGACAACAGGGTTTTGCAACCACAGCTTGCAGCTTGCAGCTTGCATTCTTCCAGTTTCAACCAAACAGGTGTGTGCCCGGTTCAGCCCCACAAATCACACCGAATGAAGCACGGCCAAGTAAGCAGCAAGCAATATTCAAACAAATTTGCAGAGAAGCAGAAATCAAGTTTCGTCAACGTTCAAGGTTGCAGCTTCAACGAGATTCCAGAACTGCCCTAGCAAGTGTCAGGCATCCACCAAGTCCAAGAAAAGTTCCAGAAAGTTGCAATCGAAAAAGAGCAACGAGCAGTGTTGGGCTTGACAAAACTAAAAGCAAGATGCCAGCAGGCTGCCAGCAAGGGCCTGAGACAGGATTTCAGGGTGGCTCCAATGCTCCCAAGATTTAAGACATGCGACATGTTGCGGAAAGGGTTGCAAGATTCCGGGGCCTTGCAAGGTTCAAAGGAAGGCTTGTTCTTTTTGAACACTCACGACCAGCTACCCAATCTAGAGACTGAAACCCGCCACTTGCCTGTTAAAATGTTGCAAAAGGCACGTTCGACTTTCCAGTGGCAGACCACATGATGATCTATGGTGTTGGATTCATTCATGCATCTATCCCAGCAGAATGGGTCCTGTTCGCTAGTTCTGCCTACTGAAAAAACACACACGAAACGTTCAAAGAGCTGCAAGAACAAGAGTATCAAGACTGCTCATGAATGCTGATAACAACTGTGAGCACAAGTACATTTTGCAGCTGGAGCCGGTCAGGCTGGGAAATACAAGGGGAACTCAACGTCGTGCCATCGTGCAATGCTACTCTTTCTTCAACTGCTTCGCTCAGCCTCCAAGATCTCTTGGAAGTCACGACTCTGGGTGCTTTCATTAGTACAGTACAATATTGTACCATTTTACAATCAAGAAGTCAAAGTTCTGAATCAAAAAGGCCCGAGGGTAACCATTATTGGCCTTTACACTCCACACTGTATTTGCTTTTCTGTAGAGCCTCCTGCGTGTACTTTGGGCGGTGGCCAGAGCAACTGCCTTGGGGCAACTTCCATTGCAAAGACTTTCCTTCTGGCATCTTCTGTCCCTCCTGTGCGCACTTCGAGCGCTTGACAAAGTTCTGTGTAACAAGAGATCGAAAGCCACCATTCTCCGCTGGACATGCTTTTGGCCTGGACTCCTGCAATCTCCTGCATGTACTTCGGTTGCTAAAGTGTTTGTGCCTTTGTTGCCGGGAAGGTACTACACTCAGTCAGTGTTTCCGCATGCTTCCTTTGCCCACGCTCTTGTTTTGGTTCCCCTCTTGAATTTCAGCGCAAGGTCCGCAAGGTCTCTGTCGGAAGCTACCGCTTGTGGTGTTTCACTGTCAGCTTCCATGTTTCGATCTAAACAAAAAAGCCTACAGGCGGTTGGGCCTGTTAACAATGGCAAGCCACCTTGACAACTACGCCAAACATGATGATGAATCACTAAGACATGCTAAGACGTCACAATGACAAGCAAGTACAAGTCATGCCAAGAACGGTACTGGCACAGAGAAAGAGATGACTGGCACAATGGCACTGCATCGCGTAACATAGTTGCAATACCAGTGGCAAACGGCAATAGTAAGTGTCAAGTCACACAAACAACCTCAACAGAGGGCCTATATATGCTACGAATGCGTGGGGCAACCGCCACAGTGCAGTATTCTCTTGCGCGCTCCCTCACCATGACTGGGAGTCGGCGGATTTATATTGACAACCCGTGACACAATCCCAACAGCATGCTGACCGCACCAACTGTACACACTCAGCGCCAATGATGAGGTCCGACAGGTGGGGGAGGTGACCGCCGAACGTGAAAGGAGAGCCTTGCTGTGATGAGTTCCTTTGGACGGGTAAAATGGCGCGGACACATCATGAAGTAGCATGAAGTATCTCTGTATCTCTTGACATAGGAACACAAAGTTGTGAAGAAAGAACAAAGCGCCAACGCATGTGCTCTTTTGTCAATCTTTGCTTTCCTTTCTCCAGGAGAGCCAAGACGCATGAAGCCACCAGCCAAGCATTGTGTGGGAACGATGCCAAATTAACAGAGGTTGCTTCTTGCCTAGGAGGCAATGCAAGCACTCTTCAAAGCACAACAGAAGCTGGATGAGAAGGAAAGACAGCTTGAGGTGGGGATAAGTTTTCCGTTCACATGGTAGTTCAGCCTCTGCAACAATAATGCACATATAGAGGCGTGCAAGAAGAAGTATGAGAAAGTGATGCAGGATTTGAAGGACTGGTGGTGATCCTTATTGGAGTCGATTTTTGAGGAGAGTGCTAGAGGTGTTCCTGCATTGTGTGAAACTATCATATCAATTACATAATTACATAATATTATATAATATATACTGCAAAAAAACAGCCCACGAGCATGGAGGCAAGGCATGAAGGTCAGCAGTGGTGAACATGCGCACTCACCGTAGGGCACCCTTTGCTCAGAAGGGAAAGCGCCGTCCCTCCGCCAAGCCGTCGTGAGGTTTTTGATGGTAGTGGAGCTGGGATAAGGTCCAGCTGACGCCTCGCCGGCGTTGCTGGCGCGGCTTCGCTGTTTCCTCCTTTGCTGCGTGGCGATGGTGCTGCGCGGCTTGGCTGCACCTGCTGTTGTCGGTGCATTGGCCGTCGACACTGCCGAGACCTTCAGCATCCACCACAAGTCCCTCGATGGCATCCAAGCTGGAAGTGGATAGGTATGGAGTCCCGCAGCCGGACGTCCTTGATTGAATACTGTGAGCGAGCAAGCTGCCAGGAGCCGCCTATGAGACAGCTCGCAAGCTCGAGCATACGAAGCTCAAGACCAAAGACGGGATCACCCACTGAGGTCGGCACGCGCCTCTTCCTGGCGACCCTTCACAAGAACATCGCGGCCAATTTCCGGTGAAGATCAACGAGCTCTTCCTCAAGGCGTTCTACGCCCCTTCGGCCTGGCGAAAGATGACTGAGACCACGCAGCAGCACATCGTCCGCCGAGACCAATTAAGAGTTTCGGAGGCTCGAGGAGGCCCTACAGGAGGTGTCCCGGACCACATCCGGGCCATGATGCTGCTGCTGTTCGCCGGACTGGACGACAAGGAGCAACCCAATGTGGTCCCCAGCTGCGGCAACGACTACGACGTCAAGAACATCTCTCATGTACTGAGTGGAAAGTCACCACCTGCGACAAGAGCTACACCCTGGCCATTGATACGACCGTCGGGACCAGCCAGATGAAGATGCCTTCAACTTCGTGGAAGAAAGCCCAGACGTGTCGAAAATTCTTCGAGGAGCAAACTCCATATACGGCTACTCCGACGACGAGACCCTCGACACCTTATGGAGTTGGCTGAAGCGTTGGCCGCGGCCATCCAGAACAAGACCCGAAAGAACAGCTTCCCGTTCAAGGCCCATGGCGAGATGTCGCTTGGCGGCTTGGCGCCAAGGGCAGGGAGAACCGAAGAATCTAAAGTCCGTGAATTCGGAAGAGGACTCTTCTACCACGCCACCGACGGGAACCTCACTCACATCCTCATCACCCAGATGGGCGACCTCTACTTCGCCGGTGAAGGCGACAAGTACGAGGCAACCGTCGCCTCCATGGAGAAGGGGATCCACTTAAAAGGCGAGGAGAAGAAGCGAGTGTGGGAAGAACATCATCCTGCAGAACGGCAACGTCGAGATCGACCAGCATGACGCAGTTGAAGGCATCGAGTACATGATCTTCGAGAAGACCCGCAGGCAGCATGCCCACCAGACCTGATGGTCAATGTCTTCATGGCGAGCCAACCATGGCAGCCGGCAGCCCCGACGTGATCCAGCTGAACAAGGCCACGAAGATACTCAAGGAGAACGCCGACGCAAAGCGGAAGTTCAAGGCTTCAAGCCTGAAGCTTGACGGTCTTCGTCTTCGCGGACTCCAGCTTCGCGAACACCGAGCAGCTGAAGTCACAATGTGGCTACACGCTTGGCCTCACAGTCAAGGGATGAAAGACGGAAAAGAAGCGCCCATCTACAGTGAAGAGAGTGTGCAGGTGCGCACTGGCTGCAGAGGCAGAGGCCAACGGGGTCCTTGCAGGAGCAGAAACGAGCATTTCAACCCCACCGAGATGGTCTACACCCTGGGGTCTACACCCTGGATGAGGAGTCTATGGACGAGGAGTTCTAGAAGAACAAAGCCATGGTGTTCGCGGACGCCAAAAGCCTCGCCCTCGAGAGTACGCTCAACAAGGACGCCGGACAAGCGTCCGACAAGAGGGTGAAGGTGAAGATCCTGTGCGCCCAGACAAGGAGATGCTGGGCACACATACTATGAAGATGATGGTGACACCTATGCACAATGGGTGGACACGTCGCAGATGCTGGCCGACGTTCTCACCAACCTAGGGTGCGAGCGTAAGCCCTTCCTGAGGGCATTGAGGCTCCCGACGGAGGAAGCACAGCACAAGAACCTGCTTACCCGCACGCTTACCCACGCTGACGGCCGTGCTCGCAAGCTGAAGAAGAAACCAGGAGAGAGCGCAAGTCCACCAAGGACCGGCCCCTTTGCTCAGAAGGGAAAAGCGCCGTCCCTGTGCCGAGCCATCGCGCGGTTTTGGATATACTGTGTATAGATGGATATATATATATAAACAGAGAGAGAGAGAGCGCTGAATTGCATATCAGTACTCGGTACTCGCAGTGGCTGTCCAATATGGCTGTGTGTTTCAGACTAGCAGTGCTTCATGATTTGTAACGAGGACAAGCAAAGCAGGCGCGATGAGCTTCGAGAACAAGCAGAAGAAGCGAACAGGCATCAAAAGTGCGGGGGAGGTTTACACAAGAATTGGACAATAAGTTTGTTGTCAAACTAGCGTGTACATATTATATACATTTCCCTGCTTTCTTTCATGTAAACCTAAGGTTCAAGTGGTGATGGTGCCACTGAAAGCAAGGGTCATTTTGTGGTGTGTTTGCCCAAATTCCAAGATTGGAAATGTTTTGACGACTTATTTTTGCCTGTCGAGGTCATGTTTCACGACGATTCTGAATCAAAAATTGGGGTTCAGGAAACGCAGCACCTTGTTAAAATGCAAGCGGTGCTTCCGATGACTTACTGTATATATTATATATTGACGGTCCGCCGCTGTTTCTCTGGTTGCGCCTGCTAGAAAGATAGCGTGTCAGCTGGCAACAATGGCGGAATTCATTGGTATGCTTTCAGATTCTTGCGGCCATGGTACCAAACCGTGTCCTCCAGTGAAATCACGGTCACCTACCATTGGCTTGGCGGCTTTGTTTCCTCGGGGCTTGGTTTGTGGCACTTTGTGATCATTGTTCGTGTGGATTTGTGCCTTTTTGCCGGCGCGAAGCTTCCAATTGTTGCTCCAGTTGGCTATCGGATTTTTAGTGAAGGCAAAGGTTTTTGCAAACTTTCCTTGAGCACCTGCGCAAAAAGTTTTGTTTGAGTTGCCCGCGGACCACTGCGAGACAATTCTTGACCCTTTGAATGGTGCAATGTTTTTTCGCGGCCTAGGCCTTGTTTTTTAACACGACAGTGATGAAGGGAGCAAGCTGCAGACGAAACAGAGGGGGTGGCTATGCTAATTGTCCATCCAAAAACTGAGTCCAGGAAGCTTTCAGGTTCAATGTTCGTTGCCCAAGCCGTATGGGACATTGCCAGCCCTGTTGGCAACTTGGAAGAGTCTGACTGGCCATCTTCCCGGTGTAGTTGTTCTGCCCCATGAGGCCGTTGGCCAGTTGAGAGGAGTGTTCTAAGAGGGTTTCAACATGTTTCAACGACAACGAGAACCAGAAGCTGAAGATCCCCAGTCGAGAATGGGTGGAGATCGTGAGAGAAGGCCAAATGAGACGATGAAGCAGTGGCAATCAAGGCCAGAGCCAACCTGACAAAGCTCTGAACCGTGAACATTATCAATATCAAGAAGAGAATACAATACTGCCGATTGCTGCATGGCATTGCGCGTGGAGGGACAGGTCAGAAAAAATACGCGGGATCTGCGAAGCTGCGAGAAGTTGTGAGCCCCGAAGCGATGAGAAACCAACCGGGGACAGGCGCACTATTCACTGTTGGGGGTGGGAAGTATGGTTTTTGGGCTTAGGGTTTTGCAACGGCTTTACATCTTGGAACTTCTTAGAATCTCCAACCCCTATCCGGGAGACCCGCTGTGCGAAACCACGGCGCAGCACTACGGCGCCACAGCAGGCCAACAGCGCCACCAGCCCGACCGCAGCGCCACAGCATTTGTTTTCGCATGTTTTCGCACCGGGCCTCCCCAACCCTTGGAATGGAAACGGTTGCCAAGGAAGCTTCTTGTTACTACGGGTGAAACAATTCCCAGTGAAACGGTTCCCAAGTGTTGACTTGGTTCAGGCTATACTCATGTGAAGTTGCCACTTTGGCGTTTTTCGAGGCAAATGAAGTCTTTTTTTGGCAAGCGTGAAAGAGACTTGCCGGAAGACCACTTTCCTTGCTGAGGACAATTGCAGCGAACCACTTCTGGGCAAATGTCCCATATCACAGAGCTAATTGAAACGGATCAGACGAACAGGAGGACCAGGTCCATTGCCACATCACGCAGGACATGAAAGCCAAATACCACGCCGCTGAACGTGCAGCTGAGCGGGGCTGGTCTTGCAGACCTTTGGTTGCAATGGAAATTTAGCAACAACGTCGACAGCGGGGATTTAGCGGCAACTCAGATTAGGATAACGATGGATAACGCACAAGTTGGTCAGTTTTGCAGGACAGACAGGAACAAGCATCTTGACCCCGCGAGGCAGTTGCCTGTGCCAGAGTTCCTTTTGTTTGACGTTTGCGTGCTTGCAGGTGTGGCAACTCCACGAGAACGACACCTTGGGGTATCTCCTTGACTTTGGAAATCTGTGTTTGTTGAGTTTCGACGGACTGCCAAGCAGAGTCGGAAAAATATTGCATTGCAATTTGATAGATTGTTCCTGATTGTTCTTTGATAGTGAGAGTTTCTTCTGTACTGAGAAAATGAGGCTCAAATGGTTTATACATATATATATATATATAAATAAATGTGAAATCAGAGGTTTGACCTCCTGCCAAATCTACTTTTGCATACTCTGTTGTTTTTTGCCTTTGCCTGGGACGTCGCTAGGACCACATCGGTAGTTGATGTAGTTTGGATGCCGTAGCCGCCAGCGACATATTATTGAGAGTTTTATGTTGAGGATAAAGCAAAACATTGCAAAGCAGCCAAGCCAGAGTTGCCATGGCCAAACTCTGATAACACAATGCTGGTTGAGCTTGCAGGCGAGCTGCATCGAGCTACTTAAGATCAGAGCACGGGAGACGGTCAAAGAGACCCTACAAGAGACCTCAAAATGATCCAAAATGTCAACGCTTCCTTCATTGCAACGCAAGGAATCACTGGAGCCATCCTGTTGAAGCACGCTGTATTGTGATGGCCACAGGGATGGTTTGAATATGCACACGAGGCCGAGTCGACTTGAGACCGAGGCGGCGATTGCTTTGCTGCTGTTCCTCCCAAGCTCGGCTCAGATACAGATACAGATACAAACGGTTTTCTAAGAGTTACTGCACGAAGGTCCGAGACCTTAACGAGAAGGAACAGCAGGAGGCGGATGGTAGAAAGGATTATTAAAGAGGTCTTTGACACGGGGCCCACTACGCCTCGACCCACTGTTTACTTTAAGAAGTTTTGCATGACGCAGGTGGTGAATCGTTTGATGCTCTTTGTGGCACCATCCACAATGGTTGTCCTCAGTGTTGCGTCCCTGTGCGAGCCACAGAGAGGATATCTTTTGAATGTTCAGTGCTCGGTTTCCGTTTCTATTTTTTTTGCATTGAAGAAGTGGGCCTGACATGGATGGAGGTACAGCAGTGACGCTTTCCAGGCACAAGTATTAAGAAAATTAGCATGAACCTTTCTCATCCTTTCTCCACAAACGGATACAAACAGCATCAAACAGCCCTTTCTTCAGCAAATTTGCCGCCTCAAACTGTGGCTTGGCTTGAAGGACCCACAGAGCCGCTGGGCAAGCTCAGATGGGTGCAATCCTGAGATATCCTGAACAAAAACAGGAAGCATTATTGTCGGATGTTGCCTGGAAGAACTTCGCATCCAGATCAATCCAATCCAGCGATTTGCATGAATACTGTATATTTCATGGATATCGTGTACAGTTGCTAACATGCGATAACGTGGCAAGTCGCCCCAAGGCCAACCACAGCAGGCTGGCAGTTTTGCAACTTGTGAGGAACAAGAACGAGTTGGCTTTCTTTCGCGCAGAGGTGAGTGGGCTGGGCTTATCCTGGCGAGTTTCATGATTTACGAGACTGGACCTGAGATGACGGCATGTTCACTTTGTCCGAGCACATTTGATATTGGGCTTGGGCGACAAAGGCTTGTGCTCTATGCTGCATACGGAAAGGGACTCGCCTTTTGGTACGCAACTTGGGCAGTTTGAGTGAATGTGCTTAAAGTGCACAGGATCGTGTTCAATGGCATTGGCGAATGCACTCTTCCAAGATATCGTTTGTATTCACCTGAACCAATGACTACATTTTGCATGAACGAATCTTGGAACCCGTTCGCTTTCGCCTTCTCATCCGCCTTGTTTGGCTTGGTGTCATGTTTGACCACTTCACATGACGAAACCTGGCTTGTCTCAAGCCGTCTCAGCTTCCATGTCAGATCAGCTCAGCTTCGCTCATTCTGTGTGTCCACCGCATTATCCTTGTGTTGATGTTTATAAATTGTAAGGGCTCCGCCCTGGTGCCGCCGACCCCTTTTTTCGTGGTGCTGACATGGCACATGGAGTTTGGGAGGTACAGGAAACCGAGCAATCCCAGGATTGATGAAATATGCAGACAATGCCTTGTAGGTCCTGCAGAACCTTGCTTGGCCCGTCGCGGGTTCAAGGATTTTATGCATGTATTTGTTTCACAAGCTTCCAAAATTAACAACAGCAACATTTCGTCGTATTTGGCACCAAGAACTCCATACCGGTATCATATAGGCGCTGCCCTTGTTCTGCAGTAAGTTCAATTGGGCACATCTCCACATCCAAGCTCCAAATGGATAGCTGGGTTAACAAAAGTGTGCAAAGACGAAGTTCTACACTTCGTTCTGAGTGGTCACGTGCATTGCACGCGGAGCGTAGGCACACAGCCAAGAAAGTTACCATGATCCGTGTAGCATGGTTTGAGCTCCCCTCGAACTGCATCAAAATGACCCGTTGTGATAAAATGCAGTGCATACCTAGAAAAATCAGATATCTGACAAGCAACTAACAGATTTTGTCCACACCTCTCTGATCCTTGAGGTTGGTCGTCCCTGGGCCTCAATATGAGAAGGGTAGACCTTATGCAATGATGGATTTTGGGGGGGTGAAGGTAAAACGAGCAAAGCTTAAAACAGTACTGGCAAAGGCGCCGAAGAATCCCAAACTCATGAGGCATAGAAACATTTCCTTGTTGGACCTTGACGCTGTCAGGTCTGCCCAGCGGACGAGATTTGCTGCGCAGAGTCGAGCCCATACTCCTCATGTCTTTTGTTGGACCGCTCAAAAAACCTTTTGGGCCCATGGGGTCCCAAGAACAGGTTCAGTGACACTGAAA